TCGCTCAAGCATGGCCTCAGTTCAAATCGACGGCGTCGAATTCACACATTCTTAAAAGGTTGGTCATCCGAATTGCTCACAAGTGCTGAATGGGAAGTCTCAATTGGCACTGCTTGGCTCTTTGGCATGAGGTTCCCGGCTCTGAAAAAACATCTCTCACATCTCGGACTTGGAGAAGATCGCTACGTTTCAAGTACCGATGCTTCGGGGTTCCACTTGGCTCAGCTGCCAATCAAACCCGGGTTGCCCAACTATAAATTGCTGTGTAGCCTAAGTACCGGCTTTCAGGAATTCATTTGGTACTCGACCTGTATTGATATAGGGAACCCATCGCAATTCATGATGCAACAGCCCCAATTCTCGTGCAAATGCAAAAGGTGCAAATCACGGAAACTTTTGTCCATGCTCATGCTCAGTTCGCTTGCCCAGTAGCAAGGCTTGTGAAACGAAAGGAGTAGCCGTATGATGGTCAGCTGATGCATGTCCTCAATCAAGCAAGTGCCCCAACCTCCAACTGTTTCTTTAGGTCCTGCATCCAACTCCCCCAGAAACGGAACAAACACAAAAAGCTGGAAAAATAGCATTCCACCTCCAAGGGGTGTAGCATCAGTTTCTACAGTCATTGAAGTTGCTTCCAGGGGCTGGTTCTCCAACACAGGGTTCCCATCCATCAAAGCCAGGGAGATTGGCAGGTGTCAGCAAAGAAGGAAACCTGGACTGCTGCAAACGTCGGTTCATATAGAGACAGCATTTAAACCAACTACTGCATATATAAACATTAACGTTGATTATTACATTAAATGTCCCGAACCTGATTGGATAACGGCGTCATCCAAGCTGTTCGATCCCCCAACACTTTGTGGACATGTTCATTTAGCCACCAACTCATCCAATATAATCCAACCTAGCTCTCAGCCCTATCACGCTGAACGACTTCAGGAAAGCAACTCCTCACTGGCATATGCTCAAACCTTTCGTGAGCCTGCTGCTCCAGGAAAACAACAAGAGACCCAAACCACCTGCCCCTTTCTAGAAGCAAGCAGGGTGGCTCTGGGGACCCTCAAAATCCTGGTTCCCTCGATGCGAGGGTAAAATCTCATGATGTCTTTGTGCTATATTCCTTGGATTAAGTCCAGAGTCTGTTGTTTGCTGATTCCTGTCCTGGCTCTGCCCATGCGATTTGTAGACTTTGATGTGCCGCTGGGCCTCCCTGGGTCTTTCCATATTATTTGCTACATCTTTGGGGCCTACACCTGCTCACTCAAGGTTTTTTGTTCCTGACACCTCCCGTTCCTGAGTTCGTCGCGGTGCAATAAACGCGCCGCGTCGCAGCTCCAAGTGGCGGCAGACTAATAGACCAGCACGTTTGGAAGACCTGCACAGCAAATCACAGGGATGGTTTTGTGGATGCTGGGACCCTGGTGACATCGATGCCCTCTATCGCCCTCTGACACATGCATATAAGCTGTCCTGACCACCTCGGTTTCCGTGGAAATTAGATCATGGCACTTTTCCAACAGTTGATTTTTAGCCGTGGGGCTAGCAATCCCCCAAAAAGCTTAAAATGGACTATATACCTGGCCGACTAGGTTATCTCATCCCACTCCTCAGTCAGGCAGTGCCTCCGCCAACTGGCATATTCTTGATCTTCTCAATGACCGCCTTCAGCAAGATGCCCGGATTCCCCTACTGGGGGGAAGTCCCGACATCCGTCAAAAGAAGGAAGGAACAATGCAAACATAACATGATGGCTGGGCCATACGCATAAGGCAAGCGCAGGAATTGATTCATGACCGGATTGCTGACCCTACTCCAATCTCAACGAGCAGCGACTTGGATCCCAGGGGCCCGTCCTACCCCGTCCGTTCGTCGAACCATTCAGTCCGGTCGAACAAAGGTCCTGGCTCTCCAAGGTGTTCGTCCAAGCTAGTGGTTGTCATGTTTGATCCGCCTGTTTGATCAGCAACTGCCAGGAATGGTTACTTGCTCTGGGCTTGCATCCTAATAAGTGGAAAGGAGCATCTATGATCAAAAAAGTCTGCGCAGAACGTTCTGCCTACTACCATCCCTGCAAAGAAAAAAACACTTGGTGGATCTTGGGGGAGGGTAGCATCATGTATACAAAACATCGCAAAGTTCCTTGAGAAGCTCAGTTTCTTACCAAATTCTTTGTCTGTGCTGTTGTGTTTGTGTGCGTGCAACGACTGGCACAAGAGAATCTTTCTTCACCAATCCATATTCATTGGATGGCAACTGAATGCATTTGACCTGGGCATGCAGCACCAACCCAAAGACATCAAATTTGTGCTCCTTAGATTCTTTGCTATTATTCGATCTACTTTACTCCCGTAGTCACATCCGCATTCAGTCAAAGTGTGGCCTCTTGGACGACCGCTTTCCCCCTATACAGGAAACTGGCAGCCTGCCGCATCCGGGGGGAGACCGGCCATCCCCACGTGCCTTTTGGCGATTTGCTTGCCGCTCCTCTTCACGCTCGGTCCGCGTGACCTGTGGAGCTGGAATCGCCATTGGAAGCGGCTTCTGCCGAGGACAGGCGCTCCTTTGCCCAAGAAACATGACAAGGGAATCACTCAGGGCATGAAGATTTTGAGGGGAGGAGGAGAGACCACTGGGTAATTTATTGTTGATATTGATGGGGATCACGAAAAAAACTTATATGGTCACCATAGTTTCTTAGGTTCTTAAGATTGTCTTGGGTAAGCATGATGAGTCACATGAGTCTACCAGTAGTGTTGGCTCTTCTTCCATTTCTCAAGCAGCTCACTTCCTGATCAACTTCCTTGATCTTCCTTGACAGGTTACCCTTGGGGTCTTCCCACACACACACACTCAAGACTATGTGTGCTGACTTGAAAGCGGTTGCCACACGCCAACCTGGGTTCCCAAATCCTGAAGAGGGCAACCAAACCTACGGAGCCTGGAGGTCTTCAAGAGGAATGGAAGTACGTGGGGCCAAAAGCTCAAGACCGAAAACGACGAGCAGGTCGAGATGACGTCGTACGCTCTTGTCTGCCGCATGCAGTAGCACTTGACGGAAACTTAAAAAGTTGATGCAGGTACGTCCAGCTGGGCAAGCTGGATACCCCACCAGATTGCATAGCATTGTTCGACACGGTCTGCAATCTGGCGCCGTGTCCCTGCTGTAAAGGGTAAAACTCCAAAAGGAGCCTTGTGACTCCAAAGGTTGGACACACACACACACCCGAAGGGAGGTATGTGTGGCCTCCATCCTGCCCGAAAGGAGGCACGCCCATCCTGCCCGGAAAGGGGGTTATGCGAAACACATGTGCACGCAAAGGAGACAGATGAAAATGAGAAAGACGAGACAGACAAAAAGTGTGTGTGGTTGCCGATGAAGAAAAACCAAGTGAAGACGGACAACCGATGAGCCGAACCTCATTGTAACAAACCTGGGCCACCTGAACCTCGTTGTAAGTAGAAAATGCGTGCGTGTATGTGTACAAGCTAAGGTCCGGACGAAAGTGCGCGCAAGAGAAGGAAGGGATGAGGATGAAGAAACATGAAGACAGAAAGACATAAAAGAAAAGAGGGAAGACGTCTGTGGGGGCCAGTGAAAGGGGAACCAAATGAAAGGGGACAAGGCGATGACAGACCAACCTCATTGAGAAACCTGTTGCAGAAGCCTTGTTTGTTTGCTTGTAGGCACGCCGCGCGCGAGGAAAGAGGCGGGGAAAGGGAGGAAGAAAAAAGAAGGAGAGAAAGGAGGAAACAAAGGTGCTCCCAGCTACGACACAGGAAGGGCTCCCAGCTATGACGAAAGCATCCTGGGACACCCAAGGAAGAAGGGGAGAGGGAGAAAAGAGGAAAGAAAAGGGCAGGTGTTCCCAGCTACGAACAAGCGTCCAGGGACACACCAGTGAGAGAGGGTGAGGGCACCCCGGGCTGGCATGAAGCCAGACACACTCAAGATTACGCGTGCTGACTTGAAAGCGGTTCCCAAATCCTGAAGAGGGCGACCAAACCTACGGAGCCTGGAGGTCTTCAAGAGGAATGGAAGTACGTAGGGCCAAAAGCTCAAGACCGAAAACGACGAGCAGGTCGAGATGACGTCGTACGCTCTTGTCTGCCGCATGCAGTAGCACTTGACGGAAACTTAAAAAGTTGATGCAGGCACGTCCAGCTGGCCAAGCTGGATATCCCACCAGATTGCATAGCTTTGTTAGACACGGTCTGCAATCTGGCGCCGTGTCCCCTGCTGTAAAGGGTAAAACTCCAAAAGGAGCCTTGTGACTCCAAAGGTTACACACACACACACACTTTGACATTGGTTTTCAGTTAGCTCAATTCCCAGGTCGAAAATGGTGAGGGAACGGCAAGGCGAAAAGGTCGGCGAGAACTGTATGGTTGAACAATGTTTGCAATCTGACACACAAGCGGTGGAAAAAAAGGTTTGGGGGACGTATCATGAACCACCATGGAAACAACACAGAAGGATTGGAACAGCGTACTCAACCGTTGAAGCAGGTACAGGTGGATGATCAGTCCACCCCTCCCTCGTCATACCGTAGCTTCATTGCGTACGGTGGGTATGACGAGCCGCACGCCCCTGCTTTGAAAACATGGAAAGCCCTTAGGGACAGGGTTTGACACACACACACAGCGCCGCTTTGCGGCGCTCGTGCGAACGACCTGAATAGGTACCTAAAAAGCCTTAGAAACAAAAGAAAGAAACACAGAAAGAGCAGCGCTAAGAGGGCAAAAGAGAAAGGTAGGAGTAGAACAAAGTGAATACTTAGCCCTTGACTGGGGTAGGGAAACGAGCCTCAAGAGCAACCTAAAAAGCCTGAGAGAAAGCCCAACAAACAACGAAAAGCGCAAGAAGGAAAGTGGGGGGCAGGGAGGGGGTGTATGTCCATGTGTGTGTCTGAATACTTAGCACTCCAGAGTTACTGATTACTTAGCAGAAATGAATTAAGTGCAATAGTTAGGGAGCGGGACTTTAGTCTTAAACCGCCTGGGTAGAGAAGACTAGAAAAGGGACAACAGAGGGAAAGGCACCGACACATAAGTGTGCCGAGTACCATTTCCCTCTGTTACCCTAATTAGGTAGGGAGTAGAACTCGGCGGGGAGGGGGGGGTTGGGAAACATGCCTGACCTCAAGTGGAATTCCGTTTTTTAGCCCGGCGGCTGTGGTATCATGTCGTGCGAGCCCGACGGCTTTTGAGTCAGTTGATTCAGTTAAGAAAAGGTGGAAGACAAGGTGCAGTGGACGAAGTAAATCTGTTACACGATTTCCGGAGTGAATTCAGCGCCCCTGTCACGGGGATCACACCCAGCACCCAAGTGGGACGGCTGAGCGGTTCACACTTTGACATTGGTTTTCAGTTAGCTCAATTCCCAGGTCGAAAATGGTGAGGGAACGGCAAGGCGAAAAGGTCGGCGAGAACTGTATGGCTGAACAATGTTTGCAATCTGACACACAAGCGGTGGAAAAAAAGGTTTGGGGGACGTATCATGAACCACCATGGAACAAAACAGAAGGATTGGAACAGCGTACTCTACCGTTGAAGCAGGTACAGGTGGATGATCAGTCCACCCCTCCCTCGTCATACCGTAGCTTCATTGCGTACGGTGGGTATGACGAGCCGTACGCCCCTGCTTTGAAAACATGGAAAGCCTAGGGACAGGGTTTGACACACACACACACACACACCGCCCCAGTTCAATGAAAACCAACAGGCAAACTTGAGGCCAGAGGGGGTGAACGAAAGCTAGCCGGGCTTCCGGTGGTCTGCTGCTGGTGCTGCTGCTGCTGGTGCTGCTGCTGCCGCTGCTGCGCTGGGCGCTGCTGCGCTGGGTGCTCTGCAGGCGCCGGGTCGTCTGCTGCTGCTGCTGCTGCTGGCGCTGGGTGGTCTGCTGCGGCTGCTGCTGCCGCGCCGTTGGGTATGCTGCTGCTGCTGCTGCCGCCGCTGGGTGGTCTGCTGCTGCTGCTGCTGGTGCTGCTGCTGCTGCCGCTGCTGCGCTGGGCGCTGCAGATGCTTGGTGTGCTGCAGCTGCTTGGTGGTCCCGCTCACCGCGCGCAGGGGGGAGTCGAACCGCGGGGGGGGGGGGCCCATAAGATTGATTTAATCAATTATTTGAGGTTTCTGAGGTGCGTCCACCCCGTCACTTAACTTGCTAAAGCAAGAGCAACTCCAGCTAGCTAAGGCTAGCTTTCGTGATCAAGTCCTCACTCAACCACAGGGACGCCATGAGTCAGGTTCCTGCAAAAAGCCAAGAATCAGGTTCAGCACAAGTGTTCACCACTGCGTTCATCTGATTCAACCTCTAAAATCACGTACCGGTCCTTGAAACTCCCCACAACTCACCACAAGTCCCCGACGCGCCCCCCTTTCGATGGCCTCCAAACGGGTCCAAAGCTCCTCGCGCTTGGCCGCCGCCTCATGCAGCGCCCGCAAGTTCTGCTCCCGCTGGAGCTCACGCTTCAAGCGGGCATCCTGAAGGGTGTGAAACTCGATGAGTCGAAGGAAGGTGTCGCAAATCTCAAGGGTTCATGGACGAACAGACCACTGGTGCAGGACATGTCGGACATATTTGCCTTCCGAAGAGCCAATGGTCAGGGTATGTCAGGGTTCATGGGTTGGCTTTCGCTAGATGTGAGTCTTTTTCTACTGAAAGCCGTCCATACAGTTTAAGGGTGGTTTCTTCAACCTATGAGTACAAGCTTTTCTTGCAACCAGTGTCAACAAATCCCAATCTTCCTCCAGCTTCTTCTTCTGGGCTTCGTCTTCTGCTCGCCACACTTTGATCCTGCGCAGGAAGAACTGCACGAATCACATCCTAACACACCCCAATTCTGTCACGAAGCATCTTCATGCATGTTTAACTGGACTCACTCCGGCGCAGTGCTAACGGTGTTCAACTGGACTCACTCTCAAGCAAAACCTGATCACTAGCTCACCTGCCCGCAGATCTGTTCTTGTTCTTCCAGCTTCCTCAGTTACCAGCCCTCAAGGTGTTCTGTCTTTGGCAGAAAACATAAAACGCAAAAGTACCAGTCACCAAAGAGCCTAGAACTACTCAGAAAAGTCAAGTTCTATGAGATCGTCGTTGTGAGAAAGGTTTTGGTGTCAAAGGATGATGTTGAAGGTACAAAGTCAACATATATATATATATATGTTGACTCACCAAAAGGATTTGAAGTAGGACACGCCTCACACGTAATTTGGACAGTGGACTCAGCCACCATGAACCAACATGTCCAGCATGTTTGCCAACATGTTTTGCAGAATAAAGTCCTTCTACCGAATTCTACTGTGGTTGTCTCTGCATACTTCTTTGTTGGAATAATCTACTTGGCATATCTTGGCATCACTCATCGCCATCGACCATCCAAAGCCCGGCCGACCGTCCTGTTCAGTTCCGCCAAGTTGGGGTTCTTCCCACTCAACTGTTGCATTTTGCCTCAGAAATCTTACGCAAACCTGCGTGTGGCGACTCCTCGACCCACATGAGATTCAGCCCAAGGCACCAAATGTGTGGAGTTGAAGGCACAAAAACCGAATCGCAGCTTGCGAAGCATACACCAAACTGTTGATGGCGACGCACCAAGTCATACAAAACCCCTTAGTATGTTTTTGCATGTTCTTTCTTTAAGCACTGTTCCGGCAACAACAGCAAATGAATCATTCATATCATTATCATATCTGATGGGAGCTCTATGTGAATCTCCCTATCACCTAGTGACACACAAGGCCAAGCTGGCAAAAAAGCTTTAAGGCTCTTCGGACACTCATGGACACACTTATGGTGCTCCTTATAGCTCCTGAGATGTTCAACTGGACAGCTCCGACATTCAGACCTATGCCGACCTCGCCGCTCTGTCCCCCACCGGGCTCCGGCACCTTTCTTCTCAGCTTCCTTGGTCTACGGGACGGCCACTGTGCAGTGCGAGGCCACGGTTGTTTGGCAAAGAATCTTGGACGTGGACAATAATATGGCGAGCTGGATGACCAAGAATTCCTGCTAGAAATCTACAAACAAACAAGTGAACCAGTGGCGCAATCCACTTCCATGTTTTTTCCTCAACATGTATTTGACTTCCCTCAGAGAGCAAGGACGATACTAGGAGCAAAGGGCATCGCTACGAACGGAGCGATCGGACGCTACGAACGAGGCTCCTGGCCTTACTACTAGGAACAAGAAGCTATTAGGAACAAAGGGCATTGCTACTAGGAGAAAGGACGCTACAACAAATAGCTTCTACCGAATAACATACTACAGGCTCCTGGCCTTACTAATTAGAATTCTTTCAAAATCGCAAGCTGAATCCTCGGTGGGACATCTTGGGACTTCGATCGAAGAACGGAGATGAGCGACGCGCACGGAGCGAGCGCCGCGGGGTTCCACTTCGTGTTCCTCGATCCAACCGCTTCCACTTCGTGAGCCTCTTGAACCAAGCCGCTGGTGCTATTGGAAGCGCATGAAAACCACACAAATCCTATGGTGGCCCAAATCAAACCAACCGCTTAATTGAACCAAACCACTATTCTTTACAGCTGGAATCGCACACACCCCCCCCCCCCCCCCCCCACCCCCCTACGCACAACGACACCCAACACACACACACACACACACGCCCACCCCCTAACACCGAGAACAACTCCAACCCCGAAAAGCCCAAAATCATATAAATCATATGAATCATAGGTGCCGGAATTCCAAATGTCATATTCAATGAAAGGGACTTCACATCAAAAAGCCTGAGGAGCACTTCTTCAACGACATCCACAGATTCGGATCATGCGAAAGAAGCATCCAAACTGATCCAGCAGCTCGGCTTCATTCACCCAAACCCTACCCACCCTACCCTCCTGCCCCCCACACAAAGAAGGAAACGACACCTGCCGTGTTGGCGAGCGTCTCTCTTGAGCTTCTCCTCCCGCTCGGCCTGACGCTTCCGGCGTTCCTCCGCCTCAAAGCCCTTGCGCTGCAGGTCCTGCGAAACTGCGGAGAACGGAGAACCGCAAGGCCAAGCCCCGCATGCCACCAGGTCGAAGAAGTGTTTTTGGATGTCTAATCATAAGTGTGACGTGTGACAATAAACATCATCGGATCAATAGATCTAATGGGAATTTAACCTATATTGTGTCTCTATAGAATTGTTTCTTGCTTCTAATATCTCTTGCGCAAGGTTGTTGGGAACTATAGTCAGGGGCTGGTAATCTATTGTTCGCCAGCAACCACCATAAATTAACAAATGCATCCAAATGCTGCATATTAGAAAAAGTGTGAGGATGAAATGTGCAAAGGGTTTTTGATGGACCTCAATCATAACCACCATTGTAGGGAAATTTGCCACACACACACACCCCTATCGCTTCCATTATACTTCTACAACTGATCTGATGGAAGCAAGCAGATCACTGTCCAACGATGCCCCGCCTCAAAAACCTGAACACGTTTTCTGGGCAATTCCAATGTCTGGCTCTCCTCGGGGGCCGACGACATGTCTGGCTCTCCTCGTCTTGCGCTGTGGGGCTGCCAGTGGCCTCGTCAACATCGTCGCCCGAACTGAGTGGACTGAGTGCGTCTGGCATATTTACATTGAGGTGGTTGACCTAGGGTCAATGTATGTAGTGCTATGCCAGTCCCATACATGGAGTGGGCCCGGGATTGGTTCAATTGCTCGTCATTTTGAGTCAGGCACAAAAAAGGGTACTTTTGATTGATTGTACACCAAAGCCTCATGGGTAACAAACAATGATAAGGAGGCCACCAAAACGATAAGAACCCAAGTGCCGCAGCCTTCTTGTGACGAGAAGCCACTTCTTTAATTTATAAACCTTGGATGGACAAATCATGATACTGACATGAATAACTCCGCTTCCCAATGGGTGTTTGTTTTTCCATCACTATGGAAAGAACTGCCTCACACTCCTACAGCGACCTAGACTCGAAGCATCTGGTCCATCCACCCAGCCATCGCCTCCAGTGTGTTGCCTTCCTCGCCCTCGCCCTCCTCGCGGATGCATTGCTATGGACTGCATGGACTCCATACTCTTTCCCAACTCTAGGGCCTTCCAAGTGATCACTTCTCCCCAGGGATCGACATCCTCCTTCACTGCCTTCAATGCCCTTCCGACTGGCCCAGGGTCCAAACCGGCGAGTTTAGTGGTATAAACATCACTTGGGATGTGCCTAAGGGAGACGTGCAAACGCCACACACTCCCAGGTTCCGTTCGTTTGTTGTTTGTTCCCCTCGTCCTTGGATTCTTTGAGCGTGGAAGTGACTAGTGCAGACTCTTGATCAATAAGTCCCCTCAAACGAACAGGATTTACAATCCAAGTCTTGTGGAGGTATTTTATTAATCTCTACCATCATAGTGTCAAAAGCAACACTCTGATAGCATGCTCTCGCTGTCCCTTTGGGTCATTTGGGGCATGTCTAAGACCCTCAAGTCCAGAAGAGAACTCCGGCAACTCCATGTCAACTGGACTCATGACGACTGGGCTTGACGCCCTGAGTCTCAGCCCCCAGAATCTCTGCACATCTTCCGCTGCACCAACCAATAGCTCTTTGCTTCAGGGTTTTCACCGTTTGGGCATCTGATCACGGGCTGCAGTTCTGTTGGACCACTCTCGGAACAAACGATGCCAGCAGAAAGGTTCCTTATCGTTGATGCTCACATCGCAAAAAAAAAATACCAGCAAAAACATATTATTATGCACCACAACGTGATCCATCTTTACACATCACCCCTAAATGCAAAAAGCAAACCTACTCCCCTGTATAAACAGAGTGTTTTTCACCCAAACCAGGTTTCTTTTCTGTGATTTACAATGGGTTTGCAGTGGAAAAAGAACAAATAATATATGATTAATTCATATTGATTCCTAGATCCAACAACCAATGTCGACAAAAACCGATCGAGAAGAGGCACCTTCATGAAGCTGCGAGTGGCACCTCAGCCATGACCGTCAGCATTGGCAGTGGGGTGAGACGGGGCCTGTCTCAGGAAAAGGACGACCGACCCTTCATGTGTGGAAAGTGTCATCTACAGTCTACAGTATGGATGCTAACCCAGAAAGAAAGGCTATTTGCTTGTAGTAGGTTCAATAAACGTCCATCCTTCATATCAATTCATCTGTCAAACAGTTCAAGATTCACCATGTGGATTCCGCCGATGCTGGGGCCCGGGGAGATCCCACCAACACCCGGGTGTTGAACAATTTCGAGAACAGCTTCCCTTTACGATGTATCTATCCTTGCTTATTATGTGTTTAAGTGTCCCATGGGGGGAACCCCAATTCTCGTCACAAACACTTCTGGCTCCTGTGCTGAAGTTGTGGCTTCTTAGAAGTTCTGACTCCACCAATTACTGTAGATGTTCTAAAGGGTCCGGGTATGGCTTCTTTTTAGCCCTACACCCGATCTGAAATAGCCCTTTAAGACTTTTTGGCCCTTTTAGCTGTTTAAGATAGTTTAGCCGAGTAGACCACTGAGTGCCTCGTGCTCTTCGAGTCTTGTCTGCCAATAGCACAACAATCACTTCCCAACTCAACCATAAAAAAATTGGTGAGATAAATTAGAAAAGTATAGAAAAGTGACGTTCACACTTGGCCTGGGTCTGCTGAGAATGCGCCCCCGTTGACCGCGCACAAGCTCCCTGGCCATCTTCAGGTAGCTTGCGGTCCCTGTCCGCTTGTGCGGCTGTGACTCGCTGCCAGGTGACGCATGCTGTCCATGAACTGGGACTCGCGGAATCGCCGTAGCCGCGCTTCCTCCCTCTCCTCGCCAGCATCCACTGGGGTCGATGGCCGGCGGTTTCTACCGGCTTGTGGAGAAAGACAAGAGGGGATGTCCATTTGATGTGGCAATGGATGTCCATGAGGTCCATAATGGTCCATGTGAGTCTGTTCTGCATTTTCTTCTCCGTTTGCATCCTTTCAATGGTGAAGATCCCACATGCTAGGGGCAGTCTGGGGAGGGGGCTGACTGGCTGCGGATGTGAATCCAAATGTAATTCACATAATATTGCCATGTCCCACCGCCTGCCGAACAAGGAGAACAAACCTCAAGGCAGGTCCAGCCACCCCTTTTCACCGGTTCCAAACAGAACGGACCTCGGATTCGCCATCCTGTAAATCTTTCCATTGTGAGATGGGATGCTCAGAAGATGATGATGTTCTTCCTCCTGCTCAAAATTGATACGCTTTGTGCCTTCCCCCCAGGTTCCTAACCATGTCACTAGGCCTGCCTGGCAGGCCACGTGGATAACCAGCTGACCAGACTTACACGAGGACTGGGGCCCAAAAGTGAAACATCTAAGAACCAAAAGAATCAATTGCAAAAAGTGTAAGGACCAAGGGACTAAGGGATTTTGGGGAGTCTTCTCTTAGGTCTAGTGACTTGTGTTTTAACTTATTGTATCATGGCCCAAGTCTCGCGAGATCGAAAATCACAGGAAGCCATGCACTGCATGGATTAGCGCCGAGCACGTTTGAGCAGCCTCTGAGGATGTTCTGGTGGATCCATCAGCTGCAAAGGATGTAAGGAGAGCACCCACCATCTAATCCCCTAAGGATGTTCTTGACTCTTGCATCGACTAGGGCCCAAGGCCCCAAGGGGACCGCCCACCGCACCCATCTGGGCCTGGATCTTCTGCTCCCGCCGCTCATTCCGCCGAGCTTGCTCCCGAGCTTGTTGCGCCCTGCGTGTGCAAGGCCATTGCGCTGTTTCCAAGGGCGCACCTCTACATTGATGTAGCACTGCACGGTAATTACTATTGAATTGCCGTGACATGTGCAACCCCCCAAGAGCTCCGGCAAGGGAAACATTGGCAGCACAAAACGCAATGGTGAAAGGGCAACCTTATTATTCCATGCCATATCGCATGCATGCATCTTGAGCTCTCATGCTTCCCAGAAATCACCACAGGTGTTGTGGCAAGAACTAGTGTAGTATCCCGCAAAAAGATCATTATCGTATACTGTTCTCCAAAACAGCACACTATTTCCAAGTGTTGAGTTGCCCCTGAATCACTTTCCTCTATGCCCATAGCGGCTCTGCAGTCAATATCAGTCAATGGATTGCAACAGTGCCGCCACTCTTTGGTTCAATGCGAACTGTCTCGAATCAACGATGCAGGTTTTTGGGGAGTCGAACTTTGGGAGACCGTTCGAGGTCGTTCGACAACGCTCTCCGCTAGGTGGTCCCACCTGTTGCTGGCGTCCACCTTCAATTCCAGCAGGTACTCCTGGGATGAGTCACAATTGATCTCATTGCATCTCTCTTTGCAGCATCCTAAAGCAAAAGGAACAAACAGAAGGATTGCAAACATGTTCTAAGCACTTCCCTGTTGCCAATGCAAAGTCGTTCACTCTTTTCACGGCGTCCAGCTGCTACAACACATACACAGCATACGCCATCATTGTTCAAATCTGCGAGCCGGACTCATGAGATGGGCAAGAATCTGGTTCCACATCCACCAAGAACATCCAATATTTTTTTTGTGAAATCTGCCGCTCGCTGAATAACAATAAGTTCACACATCAACAACAGTCTCCGGTGTAGCAAAACTCCCGAAGCCCGAAGCATCTTCTCGTCTCCTTCCGCATCTTCTCCCTCCGCTTGACAGTGGCCTCCTTCTCTTCCTCCGCATGCTTGCCTGAGGCACGGAGGTCCGAAGGACCGAGGTCACCAGCAAAGCGAAACGAACGTTTCGTATCGTTTCGTTTGGTTTTTCCTGACCGGGCGCCACAAACATCCCGCCGGGTGTGGAATCGCACGTGTAGTCGTGCAAATTTTGATTCAAAAGTGCAAACCCTCTCAGTACTTTTGCTTGTTCGATGATGTTTTTTGGGGGTCCCGGATCCTTTCATTTTTAAAGCCGAATCTGCCGAAACCCAAGCGCCAGCGCAAAATCCGTCGCCGTTTTTGTCCCGGGCTGTCCTCAACTTTCATGCGTCCTGTCTCAAGTAGACTTGCGCAGTTGTTTTGCACAAGTTAGTACACGTGGTGCTTTCCCAACGCCATTGCCATCCGCAAATCACACGACTAATCGATGACAATGTTATGAAGCCGATGACAATGCAATGAAACCGAAGATTACTTGTCGTGAAACCGATGACAATGTTCTCAGCATGACATCCACATCCTCATTCCATCACAACCCCCCCCACCCCATTTTAATCACACGACTAATCGATGACAATGTTATGAAACCGATGACAATGCTGTGAAACCGAAGATTACTTGTCGTGAAAACGATGACAATGTTCTCATCCCACCCCAACCCAACCCCCCACCTTTCACGTAGCATCAACTTCAGATAGCAAGTGCAAACGAACGTCAATATGCTCCATCCCACCCCACCCCAACCCCCCCACCTTTCACGTAGCATCAACTTCAAAAATCGCAGTAGTCACACGTTCGGTTTTACACCCGTAGGCACAAACATGATGTGACGTCAAGCATCTTTTCTGCCCTGAGGCCCTGAGGTGCTTGGGAGAGGTAGGGCGCTTTAACCACCACAAAGCTTCAACATTAAACCAGTTTTGCATCCTCAAAGTCCCTTTCATATGCCAGAACCTCCCAGTTCGATGTCAGGGAACCCCAAAAACCGGCACTTATTACGCGCCTACTATTGCGACGTCCCATGTTCGCTCCTTTCAAAAGCCACCGGACTGACCTGCGAGCGGCTTCACTCGTCCAAGCAGCGAATGGCGCTAATCTGCTTCAACTCGTCCATTGCGCGCCGGCGCTCGCGCTCCACGTTCTTCGTCTCCCGGATCTCCTCGAGACGAACGCCGCCGGTGTCGCCGGTGTCGCTGGGCGGAACGGTGCCGGTCGGTTCCGGCGAAGTGCAGGATGCTTTGGGCCACTGCGCAGCGCAACGCCGGAGGGGAAATGATAAATGGACATGCAAGATTCAAGTCCCTTGATGGTTTGTTCAGGACGCTCGGTTGGGTGTGAGCCACATGCTGTAGTTTAATGGATCACATGGTTTTATCGTATTGGTTTCATCGACCTATCTTGCTTCCAATCCCACATGATTGATAGCTTAGAAGCTTCAATGCAATGCTGGCTGCTATTAACACCAAACATGCATTAAATCATACACCCTACTAAGGTAAGAGCCTACTCAGTTACTCCCCTCTATGCTACACTGCTCCTGATCCTTCTCCCACCATCTGTCTCTTCTCAGTGCATCGAGATACCGCGCCTCCAGGCGCTGGAACTCGCGTTCTTTCTCCTCCCGCGCCAGGCGTTCTTGGGCCTTGGTCTTCCAAACCTGGACGGTTCGAAACGCGGACCCTTCGCAGACATTCAGCGAGGTGAAGAATTAAATTTTAGATGTTTAAACAAGTTTGTTGTTTGAAAACCATGCATGGAGGTATCTTTACTTAAAATTTATGTCCGGACTGGATTATGCAAAAATATGCAAATATCTGTAGCCCGTGTCCATTCTGTGTCCATCACCAGATTTTGAGATACACAAGTTCCTCTCGCCTCCTGGATGATCAAGTCCTTCTGTTCTCGAAGCCTCGCCTGTGGGGCAAGAAAGGATAGGTCCTGATGAACTTCTATGGTTGCTGGTAGAAACAATGCCCGGTGAAGTGGTGCACATATCACATATTATGCTTTCAACACTCTTGAGTGCCAAGCTTGATGCACGATTTCAGAACTTTCTGCAACCGGTGTCGTGCCCATTCTCACTCACTGTGATTACACCAAAACGGGGTGCGGAATCCCGGTCAGTGGCTGAATTCTCTAGATTCTGGATCTGGACTTTTTGGTCCGTGCGGCAGGAATAATTGCCAAAAGCGCTGTTTACAGGCTGCCTGATACTCCCGCTCTTTCATCTTCTCCTCCCGCAGGATTTCCGCAATCTGGCCTCGGCACCCCGTACGTGAATGAAGGCAATCCTCAATGTCTCCAATTTGCTGAACCGGCCACTGGCAGTCGGCCTGTTTTGGTAGAGAATAATCTTGCAATCCTCCACACCACCAAACAATTGTGTCTGGAACGACTAGCCACAATGTCCCTAAGCTGCAATACATTCGCGCATGTGTTGCTTGGGCATTGGCTCAACAAGTGTGCCTTCGGCATGGCAGCCGACTCACTCATTGGACCACACTCCTCACAGCCAAGGGGCGGTTCTTCTTCAAGAACAGTGCCCGCCGCTTCTCCACCTGGAAGCGACGGAACCCGTCACGACGGAAAAACGGGGAACCAACACAGCGAAATACTGTAGTGACCGATGCCCAGCTCATAGGGATGTCGGCTTTCTTCATGCTGATCTTTTTCGACTCACAACAAGTTTCTATACAATCACATCCCCCCCATGCCCGCTCAAAAAGAAAACGGGTGACGCTTGGAAAACAACGAACACGTGCTCGGTAGCTGTGAAAAAATACTAAAGGCAACACCAATCATGGACGAACATGGACTCGCCAAAAGTAAGGCTGAGCTTGTGGCTTGAAGGAGTCCATTTCATGGTGTCCATGTGACCATCTAGATCTGGTTGGAAGGGGTCACAAAAACGCCCCCTTGATCAACACCTAAATCCTCCAACGTCATTCCCAACCAGGATGCTCAGTGTGTGATGCCTAGGTTTCCTGTGTGGCATCAGGCGTGGAAGTTCCCAAGACCGTCCCATCTGCCTGTTCATCCCGCTTCCGAGCCAACCTGAGAGAATGGATTTACGGATAATGGCCAAAGCACGCGGATTGTTCAACTAACCCCCCGGAATCCCAGCATCCTAAAGAACCAGCATTCCTGGGTCCATGTCTATGCTTGATGGGACACCTTGGCAGGTCCTTGATGAAGCTTCTTCTCCGCATGCTTTAGCTGAGAATTGGCATCTGCAGGGTTCCCTCAACAAACACATATCGACCCACAGTAGACTTCCAACAGGGAGGGCTTGTTGTCTACCTTCTTCGCCGGCGGTTGGATCGATGGCCCACCACAGCATGGGCAACGATCATCCATCTGGGGACATCCATCTGGGGATCATCCATCTGGGGACATCCAAAATGACACCGGCACCAAACCTGAGCCCTGTAGATTTCCTTCATCTGGTGGAAAGGATCGCCCAAACCCATGCCGAACCCCTGTCAATTCCTGTGTGACACAACCATGACAAAGCCACCATGACAAACGAAGGGTGGAAAAAATGATCTGAGTCATACGAGTCATATGACTGTCTAACATATCTCAACCAAAAAACGGGCGAGCCCCACCAAATTTGTAGACTCAAAACAGCGAGCCTCCATGAAGTCCTCTTGGGAATCATAGAGGGGTCAGTGCCAGGTACGATATACCCATATTGGTTCCACACGTTTTAGATATCCCCTTCTAAATGAACCAGCCAAGGCGTAGGTCAGGCACCATATAGTAATATCGGTTGGTTGTAAACTTAGGGATATTCGGTCTAATCATGAACCTACCAACACACACACACACACAGACACACACACACACACAAACACTGACTGGTGCAGCTACAAACGAACACAGGGTACCATAGGGTACCACAGGGTCCATGTCTTCAGGGTACATCATAGATCACCTATCAGGGTCCATTTTCGGTGCGGCAGCCGCCTCGCTCCGTGCGCCGTGCGGCTGTTGTGCTCGCTCCTCCTCGATGGCTCGCACCTCAGCGGCGGAGCGCTCTTGCATCTTCCGCCGCTGCCGGGCCGCGTCCTTCCTCGGTCGAGTCGGTGGAAGAGGGCCGCCCTCCCAACGCGTCCAAAAAGCTGGGACGGACGTGACATGTCTCTGGTTGGTCTGACTTTAACACAATACGTTTGACAGCAAGAAACACTTGACATAGAAGCTTGAGCGGATCTCTATTGCAAAGCATAGAGCTGTGCCACATTGCCATGTCATCCAAAAAGTTTACTGATTGCTTATAGAGGTAGGGACTAGCGGCTAGCGCGGCGTGCCATGTATACCTGCACCTTACATCACCTTACAATAAACTAGTTACTATACTAGTAACTATATAGGCGCGGAGTAAAGTGGAAAGAGAGAGCTCTATGATGTTCTATGGCTTTTCGGGCGGCGACAAAAAGGAGAAAACCAAAAAAAACAAAAAGATGTGGTGGCGAAGCCGCAGCTCAACAGCACCAAGTTTAGAGGCTTCCCAGTTGGTAAACCCATTGAAACCGAAGAAACCAACCGAGCCCCCACCTCGCGCAGTGAATCAGGTATACCAGCAGGGGCTACTTTAGGTATGTTTCGGGAAGCGAGGCGCGCCTGGCCCCCATGGATGACTTCACGCATGTGTATTTTTTATTTGAACATGCATGGGCCATGGGCGGCTCGACGTCGACACGTTTTCGACCTGTCGTCCTTCCCAGACAGCCCGGATGTTCCGAGAGTCTCTCGGCCCATGCCTCGATCTTGGGCATCCTTCTCTTGGATCAATCGACGGATTGCCTGGGCCTCTTTTTGCTTCATCAGCACCTGACTCAGCAGTCGTGTCCGTTTTCCGCACTCCGACGCGTCGAAGGGAGGCTTCCGAAGGATCTGGCGGTTCGGATGCACAACTCATGGTTGCGACCAAATCCAAGTAAAACCAAGGAGGTGCCCAACAGACCCCAAAAAGATGCGCATTTTGACCCTCGTGTCATGCCAAACTCCACTCCAGTGAGTCATGCAGCTGCTAAACCATGGTCAATCCCAGTTCCGAATCACGACCAATGGCGTCTTTCGGGCCATCACTGTGGAACCTTCCAGAATCGATTCTCTCATCGGTCATCCTTGGGAGGACCCCCCCATCGACTGCTCTCGCACCAATGACGCCCAACTGAGGGGTGGCCATGTTTTTCACCCAAAATGGTTACACCATGGTCCGTGGTGACCATGTCGTGACATACAGTATGCATCCAAGCTGAGCAAAGGCGCTTCCAGCTGTGCCATGGTGCTTTTCTTAGCTTCCTCGGAGGCTTTGTGCGCTTCTGCCCGCGCGTGCTGCTGCTTCTTGATGAGCTCGAGCCTGGGGACCAGCACGGGGTGGCAAGGGCACCAACATAGTCTAAAATCTATGCCAAACATGGGGATCAGCATTCAAGTCATATGTCATAAGTTGGTTGTTCTATACGTGAGTTTCAGTCTTTGTCTTGCTTGCGTAGGCTTGCAGGCGGAACTGGGTCCTGCGTATTTGGCAAGCCGTGGGCGACACAGGGTTAGATAGAGTGGCCACCCTCAGAAACAAACTGGAGAGGTAATCACACAGGCATGCAAATGGTTCTGAGACGGCATTTGTGGGCTCTTGTGGCACAGGCAGTTTCGATCGAAGATTTGTTGATGGTCTCGTCGAAGTTCAGTCACATGGACTGTCATGGACTCCTGAAGTTCCACAAGTCGCATTGATGTTCGTTCGCGCCCCACTTGACCATCTGTTGAGGTCTCCAACTTCTTCGACCCTCCCCCAACTGGGAGGACCTGGGTCTGGCTGTCTCTGGCCGAGGCACTTGGCTAGGCGCGCTTCTCGGTCCTCATCTGCCTTCTGTAGCCGTTGGGATGCCTGGAAAGCAGTGCAAACAGTGCATCTCGGCTGGGAAGGGATCCTAGGCACCCTGGAACGCAAAGTTCCTGGATGCCTTTTTGCCTCTGAAGAGGGCTCTGGCTAAGCTTCCATGAGTGTTTGGCATTGTGCATGTATAAAGATATAACTTATAACTTATAACATTAAATATGTATATATAGCATATATAGAAGTGCAATGGTGTGTCTTGATTATATATGATTACATGATTACTACATGTGTCATTGAAATAACTTGACCGGTTGCATTACCCATTCACAGGTGCCATTAGTTGCTGCGGGACCCAGGGATCATGTTTGTTGGTGTTACGTTGCCTTCAATGGCCTTCGGCTTGGATCCTCCGAGCATCCGACAGACCGAAGAGCCAGCGGTCAGAATTGACAAAAAAAACACACACGCAATCACATACATGGACCAAACAACATCCAATCACCAAGCACTCACTCAACAACGGCAAGATTCAATGTTACACCAACTGCAAAGGGAAAAACAAGAAAGATTTTGGACGTCAACATTGAACAACGAGGTCCCTCGGTCACATATGATACACACCTCAAGCAGTATTGGATCTTCAACTCTGGTCCCCTTCTCTCCCCCGAGCTCTGCTCCTTGAGCTGCTCCAGGTTCCGCTTGGCGTGGAGCTCTGCAATGAAGCGCTTCCGGGCGCCCTCACTTTTCACCTGGAGCGATCTGGGCGCTGTGACGAGTACGCGGGTTGGATGCCACACATGTCACATCGTATGAAACTTTGTGACATGTTCTTGCCGGCTTTTATGTCTTGGTTGACACATCTAGGGCCTAAGGGGGTTGCTAGGGAGTAGGCATATATGTAGACACTCTCAACTGATTAATACTAAGTTTCTGCTCCCTAGACTCATGCATCCTTGCATTGACCTCGATCTTGACATCTATCACTTATCACATCTATCAAAAATACCTTGTCTCGACCCCTCTGCTCTGAAGTCATCGCAAGATCTAGAATCTAGATCAAAGGAACTGACATGTTGAACCCAGCTGATCTCGTCTTGGAATTGGTTTCTGTTAATCCCAACATAAGTGGTCACTCTTGTCCAGTCCAACATAAGTGGTCATTCTGACACCTTGTGCATTGGCTGCACCAATCATTCTGAAACGTTTTCGTCACCTAACATCACAGGGCCCAATCTTGGCTCCGATCTCGTCGCTTTTGGCTCCTAACACTCGAAAACATCTCCTAGCACCTGGTAGCTCCAAAACAGGGTGCCCCAACTACAACCATCGAACCCATGTTAAAAAAAGACCAGCAAAACCCATCCGTCGCCACTCCGTCCGGGGGTCTGCCAAGGCGCCAAGGCCGCATGCAACTTGGCGTCGTCGTGCGTGTCCAGCTCTTTGAGCAGCTTGGCACGGGTGGCGCCATCAATCTTGCCTGCGCACAGGAGGCGAGGCCGGGCCGAGGCGCCACCGTTAGCTCCGGGAAAGGGTGGAACTTGGGGAATCCGATGATCAAGACATGCGGAATTCCGGACATTTTATTGCGATCATCGCCAGGGCCACAAGAGAAAGTCAGGGCGGGGAAGTGACAACCAAGTGTGATTTCGTCATATTTCGTCCATGCCCTACTAACGAACGAGCTGTTTGGTCAACACTCTTGCGACAGGGGTGTTTTGCGCCTCCAACGTTGGCTGGCACAGCGGATGTCGCTTTCCTAAGTGTAGTGTAGCAAGGAGTCCTGTGTTCCATACCAGGACCTTCCAACAGGTGGGGTCCACAAGGTATTTCCGTTTTCATGATAAACCCCGATTGAGCAAGCCTCCGCAGTCCAACATGTCTTAGAGAAAGCCATGTAATGTAAAGTCACTGAACACTGCGTGCAAACATATACAAACCTGAGCCTGATCGAACCAACCAGCTTGGATGAGCTCTGCTAGGGGATTAGTTGATGAGATTGCCCACAAACAAAACAACATGACCGCCTAGGGCGCCGAATGTTCTTGGCTACTGTAGCGGCTACTATGCAAGCAATCCTCGCCATGCGCCATTCAACAGCAGCCTTGGGCTATTTGGCCCATTCCATCTACCTAAGCCTGCTGTTCGTTGTTTCAACAGCTTGGAGGACATGAACCATACACCGTGCAATTGAACGTAAACGTATACATTTGACCCCTCTTTGGTGGATGCCTTCTTCTTGAGACGCCTAAGTGAGCGTCATGACTCAGTTAACTGTGCTGACAAAAGAAGGCGACCGGGAATCTGAACGTGACCTGGAACGGTTCTAGTTTGGGTTTGGGTTCGAGTTCAGAAGCAAACATGTCATGCACTTAGTCTCAACACCTTGCAAGTAACTGTTCAGAATACATAGTTCCAAATCCCGTTGCTGGCATTTTGGCCGTGGACCCTTAATTACATGGGCTGACTTCGATCAAGTACACCTATTACTAATTCAATATATATATATATACTTTGTTTTTTCAATATACCACGACAAATGTATAAGTTCAATGTAAAACGCAAAAAACAAACTTATTCCCCAAATGCTACAAATACTGCAGGGAAACCAACCGTTCACTTCCAAACACCTGTCAGGAGGTGCACACTGCAAAGCCACCTGTACACGCACCAGCTCGAAAGCGTGCGAAGCTCCAAGGGCTCCAAACTATGTGCAGCTTAGAACAGGACTTGCCAGAAAGGCTGCCAAACATGCGCTCTGAAGTTATGTTATGATGGTTTGCTTTTATGAGCCATGGTTTCGCACCCAGCATTTCAGCGGTACTCCTTCCACTGGTAGGACTTCCGATCCACATCAAAAAACGGTCCAAAGACACGGATTCTCGCCGGGTCTCGGCTTCTCCTGCACCAAATCCCCTTCATCATCCACCTCTGCCGTCGCCTGACAAAACGGGCGGCACTGAGGAGGTTGTGTGAGCAAAGTGGACCTAGGGACAAACAAGGCCCTCAAGAAGAAGCAAACTTGTTTTGTTAACCAGGTGCCTTCTTCTTGAGACGCCTTCAGCAAACCACTTGGCACTTGTTTTGTTAACCTGAAATCATTTTGAGACAGTGAATGTGAGAACAGCACCAACCCTTCTGCCTTGAAACACATGTAAAAACGTTACAAAAACCACATGCCACCCCAAGCCCCAAGCCCTAAGCCCTACCCTGCGGAAGCCACCCGTTTCCAGAACCACATGCAACTTCAAGGCTCCCTTTTTCAAGGCTCCCTTTTCCATGCCTCCCGTAATCACCGTGATTTCGAGGCCCGTCAGGCGCCTCTTCGCCCAGGCAGAGGACTTTCTGCCCCCGCTTATCTTGGACGAAGTCCAGGTGTTCGATGACCCAATGGAAACCTGGGACGTTCGTGGCGACATTAGCGAACTTGCTGTCAGTCCGCAAGCCAAGCAATAATTACCGGATCTACGTAGTATGCTGATAGAAGGAGATGATAGAAGGTTTTCTATGTTATATAACTATTATTTTGATGATCAATTTTAAAAGAATCATTGGAACCTGTGGCTTCTGGGTCGTTCTGTGCCTGTTTTACTATATACCTCATGTCTCCGACATCTGATATAGCGCACTATGAGACAAACAAATAGTCTCACAGTGCCTCCGGGCGCGCCCAGGTCATCGGCTTTTGCTGGTCTCTCCAACCTTCTCAGCATCAACTGGTGGACCACTGCGCCATTGAAATCATAATGATGTCCGTCGTTGGAACTGAGCGTCAGGTTTCCGACCGTGAAGTGTTTTTGGTTTCCGCCGCTGCTTGAAACATGGGGACGCTGAATCAAATGCAATGTCCACATGGGTAGCCCATGGGACATGAGTTGTTCGAAAGAACTCCCATTTCAACGAGGGGACCTGTAGCGCAAATCCACACACCCTGGCAATCCAAGCATCCCGTCACTCGCTAATCGCCAAGCCACGGCCATCTTGATTGGATGGATTCATCAACTCGGAATCATACCTGGAGCCGAGAAAATTGGAACGAAGTCGAGGCTGCTGGGCTCCCTTCCACAGCTCCTGGAGCCTTCCCGGGATCTTGTTTCTTCTTGGGACACTTTATTGTGCACTTCGGAATCTGGATGAAGGACCTTTGGTCTCGGCTGGGGCTGTACCAACACTGAGAAAAGGGCATTTCAGTAGCTAACTAATTTTCGAAGCACTCAGGGGCCTCTTTGCACACTGCAACTTGAAGCGACATCAGCAGTGGAAGTCACCAAAGCACACCACAGCGGGCTTCATTGTGATCCTGTATAGGCTTGAAACCAAAAAACGCCTCAAAAGCATGAAATGTATTCCGCCAATATATACGTAATGTATGTTCCGGATTGTTCCGGAGCTTCACACTGTTCCACCCGCACTGGCCCAAAACCATCCTCGATCACCAATCATCTGCGAGCCGCTGGAAGAGGGCATCAAACTGGCTGTAGGTCAGTGGGTAGGTGTACGTGCAGTCGTTCTCAAGCTCGTAGGCTGAGAACCTCAACGTGAATCAAGCCGGCCAAGGGACCCATATAAAGGCCTCTTTTTTGCGTCCATCGAATGATGCGGCCCAGTCACTGGGCTTTGTTTGGATCAACGCCCCTCCGTTTCAAGAACACCATGTCTATCCAGTGGAGACTGATGCCGTGTCAGTTGGTTTTAAGACAAATGGCGGTGGATAAGTGGATAGTGTTGTTTAAAGCCTGCAAGTCATGTGGGGCCCCCAAACCTGAGTCAGGTTCCGTCGGTTCATAGGCGACCTCACTATTGAGATGTCTGTTCTGTCGGTCGATGCTCGAATCAACCAAAAGCTGGGGTCAAACACACATCCCTTATGCATGTTGCCCGGGGCCCGGTGTGAACTCCACCAATGATCGAAGTAACGACTGACGGCTCAACCACTTGGATTTCTCAAAGCAACCAAGCAAACTTAAACAGTCTTGAGAATTGAATCCTGGCTCCTGGGCCGCAGCCCCAGGATTTTGGGGCCGATGTGCATATATACCCGCAAATTAAAATTGTAGATCCAAACATCCAGAAGTGGGTCATTGACCTCTTCCGCTAGGCATTGTCGTGAAGCTCTTGGACTTTTGATTGTTGGGGTGACACACTCCGACTCACTAACATGGAAGTAAACAATGACCATGCAATGGGGATACTGTATATACACCTCATGTTCATCTATCAACAGGTGGTGTTCCACTTCCATGCTGCGTTAGTCTGTGTCAAAGGGTTTCCTTGGGCCTACCCATCAAGGACCCCCAACCCCTCCATCTCCAACCTTCCACGCTCGCACTCTCGCTGAGAGGCGAGATAGTACAGGTCGCCGGATCGTCATATACGGCGACCTTGGGACCCAAAACTGTTTTAAAGATTCTTCCCAAACCATTCTGACCCCAGGTCCTCAGTGGTTTGAGGTCGCTTCTCACAAAAAATCCGTCGAGAACGACTCGAACTAGGAGGGCCGGGTGCATCCGTCAGGGCTCGGCCACTGTTTTCACTAGTGGGGTCGAGTGGGACATGTTAAAACTCCCAATGTTATCCCATAGTAAATGTAAAAATGTTTTTCTAGTTAGGGGAGCTCTGCCGAAGGTTCTTGTTTGCTGCAAAAGTGGCAATTCTTTTTGGGGTAGGAAGGGCAACAGGCTGATGCTGACCGGGATGTTGACTACTGCAAACAATTCATGGAACCTGCCTGAGGCAAGAATAACAAAAAACATCACAATACAGATCAAAACAGGCTGTATTTCTCTTACCCTTGGTCCAAGCTACCTTGTCGTGCCATGGTCGAACATTCATGTATCCATTGACGCGTAGATGCATGAGCAGGTAGATAGGTGGATATGATTCGATACAGTAAGTCTTAGTAAGTGAAATAACAAACATATAATATAATCACATACATAGGCAGTGGAGAGGTAGGCTGATCAACATGGGCAGTTCTAATGGCGGCAGGATGACTGAAAGGTGTACAGTGACAAGTGATCGACAAAGGTCGATAGAGAAGTTGCACGGCAAACTCCATTGTCCAATCCATTCTGGGACCAATGGTCGCCAAGGGCCTTAGGGATTTCATTGATTTGCTATGATTGGGTTCATGCAATTCCTGCGCGCCAATTCAGAGGCAGTCGAGTACGGGCCTCCCCGTCGTCTCTGAACATCTCCGGACGCTGGCTCACACACACACACACACCCACAAGGCAGGGCACATTATGATCTCTTGCGCACCGTTTCAGTCAAACAACGACCTACTGATTACCTCTTCACGGGTTAACCCTTTGACACAATCCACAAACAAATCATTCGATCACCACCTGGACTTGAATTGAAGAATCAATCACCACCAAAACCATCCTGCCTCACTTGGCTCAGCACAAGACCGGAATGACAGGCTCGTGCTTCAAATGGATGCACCTCGACTTTCCAAAGGAATCTGAGGCCGCAACAATGTAGTAGTCTCCCTCGATGCACTTCCCCTCCTGGAAGATCAAGGATCCTGGCCCGTGAGTACGGTGGATTCTGTCTGTCTTCCACCTCGGTGTTCCAATGATCCAAGGTTTACATCATGTCATGGAATCGCCCAAAGTTCCAGTACAGGAGATTCGTGAGACCATCAGTGAGTGGATGATCACCCCACCCTCCACCAACGACGTATCCCACCACGTTTCCTTCTCTCAACTTGCCTCACCGTGGGGTTTTGCATCAAAGCATTGTGTCAATGGATCATTAAATCATTTGGTTGGCTGTCGTGCCATGCTCTTAGAGCGCCCATCATTTTGGTGGTCAGACGTGTCGGGTGACCTGGGAAGAGTGAACTTGCCAGAAGGAGACTTCCCAGACGAACAAAAACACCCCCCCTTGAGGATCAGGCATCTGGTCATTGTACCTCACATACATCAATCAACCAAGTGAGATGATCTGTCCAAGGAATACATCCTGAACCCTCTCTTTCCAACCCCGGAGGGGTGGACACCTCGTGTATCATCTGGCCGGCGTGCCATGCTCTTAGAGCGCCCGTCGTCCGTTTGAATTCAGCTTCGAGCCAGTGCGGCTAATGGGGCGGAGGGAGACACTTTCGCACGAGGCGGCTTGTATACTTCCGCGGTAACATACACGTATAATACACGACTCACTGACATGGAAATGGATGGCGGGGTCCCTTGCTAGACTACTGCCCTTTACGAACAGGGGGTTTGACACTCAGTCCCGTGTCAGTGAGTCAGTGTAAATAATATTTGTTTAATGTATGTTTCATTCAGTAACAAAGGGAGAGGCGGAGAGGCTGAGAAAGGAGATGCACTACGTGCTCCGCAGGATTGCTTTCGTCCGCTCGACTCTTTCGTCCATATTGTGAAACATTCGCACCTAGGATGTGTGAGCATAACCTGCATCGAAGAACATGATCATACATGGCTTTCCCAACTTCCCAACACCCACCGATACAAGTTTCTGGTGTCCATTCTTTCAGCGGCTGGGTGTTCAAAAGGATGACATACCCACCATACCCTAAGGTCATCCAACAACATCCAACAATTCCAGTACTATTGTCTCACAAGTCTTGAATAAGTACTATTCTTATCCAGTACTCCACTTGACTCACCTTACCTTCTGGATGTTGTATCCTCGACTCGCAGCTTCACGAAGGTCGCAGCCTTTCGAAGTGACTGCCAGGACTGCCAGCCTGGAGCGACACGGTCAAAGGCTGGTCAAGTCCTTACTCTATTCATCTCTATTCCACTTGTCACAGGGAAATCGCTTCTCTGGGGGCATGCTTCACTTGGCCAGAGCGGTTCTGTTGGACCCGGACATTGAGATGTTCAAAGTTGCCAAGCTGCTAGGCTGCTAAACATGAAGCTTGGTGACATCTCAAGGCAAGCATGCAGCTGATGATCTTCATGAAGTCTAGCCGCACTTGATCTCCGTGCAATCCTCCAAAAATCGAGCAACCAAAAAAGCTCCTTTTCTATGCTTTTGCAGCCCAGCAAGATCCAATCACCCCCAAACACACACAAAAGAACATGGTCTGCAGCTGCATCCTACGGCTGTGTGATCCAGGGCACTGTTTTCCCCACCCTCAAAATGGCTGCAGCCTTTCGAACATGCCATGTGCATTCTCCCATTTATATGACGTCTGCATACGTTGTCCACGATATCTCACGTCTTCATGCCAGGTCACGACACGGAGGCTGGGTCACATGTCGAGCGCTCGAGCCAGCTTTGGCTGCGGGCGGCTGTGAGCGGCTCGGCCACAACATCAGTTGTTCCCGGCTCGAGCAGTTCAGTGTCGATTTCACCATTTTTTCGGCACGGTTTCACTGCCCCAAATGCGGTTCAAGGATGCGGCCATTCTGATTGCGGCCACAAAGTTCCAAAGTTCAGAGCCTCTGGTGGAGGGGATCGAATCTTCAAGCCAGTAAGGCAACAAAATCCAAATAATCCTGTCCACCTATTAAAAAACACGGGGTCCCCCCCCTATAAGGAAACCTCGTTTAACAATGTTTAACAGGGGTCCGTTTTTTAAAAGGTACTCGGGATACTGTAATTGTTGTCTTCCCCTATGGCAGTGGCAGAATGCGAACGTCAACCTTTGTGCATCTGCCAGAATACGTGCGACAGTATGAGAAAACAGCGCTGGTGATTACCACCAATTTTTTTCCAATCACAAGCTGAGGCTTTCAAGGCAACCAAAAACTCTTAACACCGAGAGATAGAATAGAGTGCTCAAATGCAAAGTCATTCATTTGGCATCTGAAAAAGGAACCACTCTGGCTCAGCAAGGGCACAAACGTCATTGGACCGCAGAATGGAAGAGAACGCTCTGGTCAGAGTTGATTAGGACATTAGGACATTCCCTGCCTGTGTTACTTGTTTTTTGGATTTAAGCCAGCGATGCCCCTCAAAACATCCCAAGCAAACATCGAATCTCGATTCGTCACACGCGTCTCCCCCACACCACACGTCCGCCTGCGGCGTTAGAAGGCCACGTCGCAGCTTGCAGCCCATCTGAGGTTGGTCGGTTTGGTTTTGTTGCCATAACTGGATAGAACAGGAAAGAACCAAGCGTTCCTGAATACAGGTTCGGGCAAGACTTGAAGAAGAGGGCTGGAACCTCATGTCCATACTACACATCCAGTGGTCACACTCGAGGGAAAGAGGGCTGGAACCGGTTAGAATCGGTTCTGTGAACATGTCAGCACTGTCACGTGGAGCCCCAAGGAGAACAAAAAGGTCTTTGATCCCTCTTGCACAGGTCTGAGCATAATAGCACGATTGCAACATCAATTGAAATGCAGAACGGCAAAAAAACAACTAAATTGATTCATGATACATATATATATGTATATATGTGAATAGTTAAAGTATTCAATTGTATTATGCATATTTATGCATCCATACTTGGACTCTCAAGTCACATCATATGGAGAGCTATGCGATGCTCGCGGTGGCGATGCGCGAGACGCGGTGCGCCTTGGAGTGCAGGCGCCGAAAGCGCTCGTCGGCGTCCATCGTGGAGAAGCTCTTCTGCTGGACGCTTTGGACCTCGAAGGTGGAAGCGTTGGACGGTTTTGAGCTGTGAAGCGTTTTTGGCTCCAAAGAAAGGAGAACAATGTGGATGAAAGAGGCTTCCCCTGTCCCAAAAAGTGGGCAGCCCATCTGAGGTACAGCAGTTCCTGTCCCATGAAAAAGGACCGAAGAACAGGTTGCTCAAAAACGTCGATCCAGTGTCACTCCAAACATCTTGCGGGTTCCCATCGGTGGAGCTCTGCATGCTTTTTCACAGCTCGGTGAGCGGAGGTAAAGATCGGAGGCCGGTCTAAGACTTGTGGCTGCCATGCGTTCTGCATTCCGCGCCTATGAAAATGATGTGGATCTGGCTGGCTCAAAAAATGCCAGCCAAAGATGAAGTCTTCTTCCGGCATGTGGCACAATGCCAACACTGAGTGTTAAAACTTGTTGACCGCCCCTTGGCAGCCAACGGATGTCAGGGAGGTCTGGACCTGGGGACCAAAGCTTACCCTTTCAAACCAGTCTTGTCCTAGCAAGTGGCAAATGCCAATCTTGCAGTGGCAAGATTCTCTCACAGCCCCTTGGCTGTACAACTTGGTCTGCCACTGAGACAGCCAAATTTGAGGATATGTCAATTGCTGCAAGCTGCTAGGACAGGAAAGGAGACACCCCCCCTTCACGCGTCCAGACATCAAAGAGTCACAACAAGGAGGTCACCTTCATCTCCACATGTCTCTTCCAGCGGTTGCAACCTGCGTGTGATAGGGTGAGTGATAAAGGTCCATTCAACGTATCCAGTCATCTTTTTTACCATCTCGTTCCTATCACCACAAATGTCTTTCCCCGTCTGCGCCTCCCCTCCATGACTTGCATCTTCATCACGGAAATGGCCGAGCGAAAATTCAGGATCTGCACGCCATTGCCCAGCAAATCCATCACTTCCTCATGTGATCTACCTGAGGAGGAGGAGAACACAAAACATCAGGCCGATGACAATCAGGCAAGGGCCAACCAAACTGACTGAACCTTTTCTCAACACATGTGATGTGTGCATGTGTTGTGTGTATCTCAAAACATACCACACATGGTCTCTAGGAGTCCCAAGCGATACGTCTCAAATCAGCTTCAGCAATCCATGGGGAGTCCCCAAAAACCAACAACAAAAATACTTGATTTCTTGGAAGAAGGTGAACACAACATCTAGTGTACTAATTCATTACGCACACATATATTATAATCATCCTGAAGTAAATAGAATACCTCATTTTTTCAAAAATAGGTCACAACCAAAACATTGATAGAATATGGCTTTTAGCGAAAGATTGTTTTCCAAAAATGTGACCTCAATCTCCGATTAAGGCAATAAAAACAGCTTTAATATTTTATAAATATTCTATCTATGGGTGTCACCAACCGCCGTGTGTGCTCGCCTTTCCACTTGTCTTCCCCTTTATTCTGCCCATGGTTCACTGTACGATGTCCTTAAGAAGTGGTCGGCTCCTTTTCACCTAACAAAAAATATTGAATATCAAACAATATTCTATCTAATTATGGGTTGTTCTTTCATGTTTAACCTTTTGTGTCCAAAACCACCAGTTGTAAAAAAAAACATTACCCCCTTTCGATTCCGGATTCTATCTACTCCAGGATGATTACATATAATATATATATATATGACTTACATGTTAAAAACACTATTAACATACAATAACTAAATATACACAAATATACAAACATTATACCATACTTATATTACACAAATTTGACCAATAGAACATATCACATAACATCATCTCTGCTCCCCACCCCTCTGCCTTGATTGGCCGCCCTGGCAAAGTCAATGGCCCGTCGTCCCTCGGAGGTCTCTTGCGCTGGGTCCGCGCCCGCCGCCTAGGTCGGGCCCAGGTGGTGGAGGCATAGTGTGATATGCCATAAGAATCCCATAGAAATGACAGGTCATGACGGGTTTGGTAAGGGAAATTGTTAGGATCCATAGAATCAGACAGAACATTGACCACAAAACGTCATTTCATGCGATCGGACATACCATAACCACTAACGACTCTGCAGCACACAGAAAACACCAAGACGTTGTGCTGATCCAAGGGTTTTGCGGTCTTGGAAGGCCCAACGAAACAGCAATCTCAAAAGCAAGGCACCAAAAGTATGCGGACCAGCTGGGGGCATCCATAGGCTGCTGCCGCATGGATGGGGTATACCAATTCCTGAGTGGCCGAGGGGGCCGGGCCAGTACAGTAGCTTCATTGAGAGTGTGCAGGGCTTTAAAAGACTGGCCTGTGACGGATGAAGAATGGTCGGTCCGATCTGTCGCCTTCTGAGGTTGAAAAATGCTGAAAAGTAGATCCCTTCATTTCATTGGGCCGCGCACCGAGCGCCCCCAGATCTTACCAGCTTCGGACTCAAAAAGTTCCGGCTTTCGACATCGCGACGTTGCTTGTCATCTTCTCAAACCAGTAGAGCGTTGCTTAACGATATTGAACGCCTACCTTTGAAGTGCAGGGTCATGAGGAGGTTCTTGCGCACACACTTGCGCTTTGCTTATGTGACTCACATTTCAGTCTACGTGGCATGAATTCTTGTGAAACTAAGATGGAAGTGGCTCAGAGGCAAAAACACACACACACACACACAACTCGAACGGACTCGAACCCACCGGGAAACCGTTCTACTGGTCCTTCTGCTGGGTTTGGCTGGTCACAAGCCTGCGCCTCATGAGTGGATCATGGCTGGCGCCTCAAACACTGACCCTTGGGACTGAGACCGGGTGGCCCGCCCCCCACTGTGGGCCGACTCCATCAGCAAACTAGGTTCTCCAGCTCGAGACAGGTGCAAATTCACTTGGGAATTCGCAGAGAGTGGATCCTTGAAGCCTTTGGCCTTCAGGAAGGCCAGGAGGTACTCTTTTCGGTACCTGTGCGATGTGCGACAAAACAAAGATCAGAAGACCGCGCCTGACATGGGGCTCACTGAATTGTGGCAGGGGGATGAAAGTGAATGACATCATTAGGCAAATCCCGGACACCCCGGCGGGCCCCGGCAACCAAGAATGGATTTGATGATTGTGTTCGACAGTCTGAAGAATACTGAGGCACGTGTATCAAGCAAGGAAGAAGAATTATGCGTTCTAGTGTTAAACACACGCAAGGGCTGCAAGGCTTTTTGCAGTGGACATCTGCTCTTGGTTATAGATTGCTTATCAATTACCTTTACGTGACCATGAATCTGCACACTAATCTGCATCATGTTGCCTTTGACTGGTTGGTACCCTGAGCATCGGATATTGATTACAATCAATATTCTACAAATTGATACATTTTCAATAGAAAAATCAATTCTAGAATATTGATTTTGCTGAAGAAACAAATCAATAAAAAAACTCTGCAGAAAACAATGAAAAATCAAACCCAGAATCAATAGAAAAATCAAACCCAGAATCAATAGAAAAATCAATCCCAGAATCAATAACCCTGCCCATCCCTGTGATCCTTTTCCATTATAGCATAGATCGAGTTGGTGAAACCTTGCTTTGAAGGTGCTTGCACAACAAACTCTTTTGCAAAGGCTTTGGGTTGCATTACCCCTCTTCCAAGGGTTGAAAGTCCCTTTCCCAAGGGCCCTCTTCCAAGGGTTGAAAGTCCCTTTCCCAAGGGCCCTCTTCCAAGGGTTGAAAGTCCCTTTCTCAAGGGCCCTCTTCCAAGGGTTCTAAGGATCTCTTTCTCCCAAGCTGAAATTGTCTCTAGTCATCAGAAGATGAAGTAATACTCTGTATTTGGGGGCCATCTTCTTGGAGAGCTTGGTATTTCGAACACCAGGGCTGATAGAAAAAACCAGCTCACTGATTCTGGCTACATAGTTTTCATTTGCAAAGCACCAGCAAGCTTTAGGATTCAAGTGGCAGCTGTTAGCCACAAGGTGTTGGAAGGCATGGAACTTGTAAACAATGTGAAACAAGTACTTCCCTTCTTCAAGGGCCCACTGATTCAGCACACTGTAGGTATCCAGGAACTCTTTTGCAAGAGAGGTGGCTTTGCTGTATTCTTCCTGGGAAAGGAAGACATCAGCTGAGTCAAACAATTCCACCAATCCTTTCATGCTTTCCATGGCCCCCAGCATGCAAGACTCATGCCAGATTTCAGGATCCAATACAGCCTTGCAAACCCTCAAGAATGCAGGAAGAAAGTGTTTAGACTCTCCACCTTTCAAATTCAGAGCTGGGTAAGATGCATGTGGCTGCTTGGTGTCTGCAAACATAGACAGTTTCAAATTTGTGACTCTCACCTGGCTCCCTAGCTCTTGGTAAGCCTTTTGCAAGGCTGTCCACAACATTCCTAGCCTCTCCTGGGCTGGCATTTTCTGCCTCCCTGCACCATCATGCCACACTAAATAGTGTAGGCAGGAGCCCAGGAGATGGCTGTAGATGCCCTTGCACCACAAAATGTGCAGGGCATCCCCCCTCACAAATTTGGTTGTTAAGCCTGGAAGCTGGTGGAACAAAGGGTGCTTGGAACCAGGATTCTCTGCAGCCTCTTTGTTGCTCACAACTTTAAAGTCCTGCTTGTCTTGCTCAATGTTCTTGAAGTACTTGGAAGGGTCATCTGTGCTGGACTTTGCATCGCATTCCATGCAGGGGCTTAGGCTGCCCCAGTGGGCAAGGCCCAACTGATTTGCAAAAAACTCAGCATCCCCTTGGATGCTCCAGAGGACTGCTCTGCAACCAAAGCACAGGGGCTTGCCTTTGCTTGCATAGAAAGGTGAACCCTTTTGCAAAGGCTTGCCATCTGAATCATGGGTTGGATGGAACCCTTTCTCAAGGGCATTGAAGCTCCAACAAATTTCTTTCATAAGTTGATCTCTGGGCTGGTGGAACTCTTTGGGTAACAGCTGATGAGGAATTGTGACTCATGTTTGCTGAAATTGGTCATCATTGGGCCCCAGCTGTAGCACATTAAGGAATCTCTGGCGGAGTATTCCACCCCATCTCCATGTAGCCATATTGGAATTGTCATTTTTCTCCAATTGCGAGTGAGCATGGGGTGGTTCAAGGGCCGTTCATCCTTGGAGTTTTCAACCCCTGCCCAGAAGCCTTGCACTTTTTCAAGTGGAAAACATTCACCAAAATTTGGCAGCTGTGCCAAATCTGCAAACATCACATGTGGTAGGAATACTGCTGCATCTTCTTTTTCCACCTTGAGGCTCTTAGGATCTAGGCAGCTGACCTGTACCTCCATGGGAGGGGATACACAATTTTCTTTCACAAATCTAGCCATGATATCTCTGTGGATGTTTCCCCTGTGCTTCCCATAGTTGCCTGCCTTTGCAATATCTTGTAATTCTGCAGCCTCACACCCATCCAAACATGCTGCTTGGGCTAATGATTGGATAGATACAGCACTGAGCCTTCCATGGGCCCAAAATGACAGCAGCAGATTGGCCAACACACTTTGGGGAGCACTCCCTTTCTCAAAGGTTTGCATTCCCTTTCCCAAGGGTTCAGGGCCTAAAGCTTGTTCCAGCTGCCATCCCCTCAGCCTTTTGGCCATGCAACCCTAAATTGTTCTACCAAGCATGACTTGAGCCATACTAGGTGGTACACCAAACAATGAATTGCTTTCCTGAACACAACCTCCCATGCTATGTGTCCATGGTTGTGAAAGAATGTTACCATGTTTATATGCAAACACACCTCCAGAGTATAGCCCCTTGAGAAAGGGAAGGGTCCAAACACACCTATACAACCAATTAGCACCACATTTGCACCCACAGACCCCCCAACCCCACTCAGAACACAAAGGCCTTTTTTCTACTGAGGTGTAGGTCTGCTTGCTGCACTCAAAAACCAGGCTGCCTTCTTTGTAAGGCAAGCACTACAAAAACCAGGCTATCCCTTCTGCAAGGGTCCCTCTTGCAAAGGTCCCTTTCCCTTCTGCAAGGGTTCATTTCCCTTCTGCAAGGGTCCCTTTTGCAAAGGTTCCTTTCCCTTCTGCAAGGGTTTATTTCCCTTCTGCAAGGGCCACTGTGCTATTCATCTACTTGAGCCTTGATGACTTGGAACCGGTTTTCATGCTGATTTGCACCAGTTCCTTGGCCTCATCCTTAGCATCTTTCACAACAGCCACTGCTTCCTTCAGCAAGTCTTTCATCTTGCTGACCTTTGTCTTCTCTGCTTTCAAGAGTATGTCCTTCACTTGGTTGAAAGACTTTTGCAAAGTCTTCAGCATGTCTTCTTTTTGCTTCAGGGCAGGCTTGGACAAGTAGCCCATGGGCTTCACCTTTTCCAAGGCCTCTTCATAGTTTGCCATGGTATGAGCCAGCAAATCCCTGCTCTTCCTAAGCTTTGTGAGAGCATCAACTCTCTGCTCTTCCTCACTCATGTCTTCAAGGGGCAAGGGGTCTTTCCCATTGTTGTTGTTGTTGGGATTCTTCCCTTGCCCTTTTCCTTTTCCTTTTCCTTTGGTTTTCCCTTTGGCAAGGGTTGTTCCCTTGCCTGGTCCATGTTCAGACATCAAGGCCAGCAAGTCTTTTTCCAGCAGCTTCTCCCATTCATCCTCTTCACTCTTCTCCTGCTGGTATTCCTGTGCCTGTGTCCATGACCTCTTGTGCTTTCCTGCTAGCTTTCTGGTCCATTGTTGTGTGTCCATATACTCGTACACACCCCATGTGGAGGATTCCCTCCAGACAACCCGACCAGACTCTATGTGCTTGTTGAGGTCATCCTCTCCCCATTTCTCAATGGCTTGTTTTTCAGTGATCCACTCTTCATGCTTGGTCAATGACTGCTCCATTTGGGTTTGCTTTGCAACATTGCAAAACCTAGGGCTCTCAGCCCTCATGAGGAAAAGGGCAGTTTTGAGGCCCTTGTCCTTCTTGTTGCTGTTCTGGTAGTCCTCCAGGTCTTCTTCATTTCCTTCTTTGTTTAAGTGTTTCTGGTGCCTATTCCAGGCACGGGTTTTCTCCTCTTGAGACATTTCATTTTGCAATTCCATTGCTGCACTCACTTCATCTTCATGCTCTTCAGCAATGGCTTTCACCTTGTCTTTCAAGGAGAGCTGTCCCAACTTTTCCAAGTTGCTCCTTTTCAGGAGTGACTTCATTGGTTTGTTTTTGGCCTTTGCCTTGGCTTTTGCCTTGGCTGTGACCTTCATCACCTTCATGGCCTTCATGGCCTTCATTGCTTTCCCCTTTGGCAAGGGCATGTTTGGAAGCCCCTGCACTTCTAGCTACCCCTTTTGAGCACTAAAATGATTGCAGTACAAACAGTGTAATATTTATGAACCGGTGATGAAAGGTGATGAAAGGTGATGAACAGGGTGATGAACAGGGTGATGAAAGGTGATGAAAGGTGATGAACAGGGTGATGAAAGGTGATGAAAGGTGATGAAATGTATGTGTTCATCACCTTTCATCACCTTTCATCATCTTATATGTTTTCACCTTCTGGTGTATTGATTTGGTATAACCTGTGTCCAGAAATGGGATGGATCCTTTGGTGTCACTTGGAAAAAGGTGGCCCTTTGGTTAGAGACCCTTTGGTTAGAGATCCACTGGTGCAGGAACCCTGTGGTTAGAGACCCTTAGAGACCCTTAGAGAGATCCACTGGTGCAAGAACCCTGTGGTTAGAGACCCTTAGAGACCCTTAGAGACCCTGTGGTTGGAGATCCTGTGGATGAAGTAATGGAACACAATCCTTTTACAATGCCTCTGTCCAGCCTGCCTTAAACTCATCTTTTTTCTGCCAGCCTGCCTTTCCAGGCTCTTGCCCAGGTTTCTATAGCCAGGCTGCTACCACCACAACAACCACAGCAAACAAAACACAGCTTTCAAAACAACATCTGTTTAAAACTATTTCATTTAACACCTTTGGCAGCAGCCTGGCTCCAAAAACATGCAAAATTAAGCCCCTTTCTCAAAGGATTCCCTTTCTCAAAGGATCCCCTTTCTCAAAGGATTCCCTTTCTCAAAGGATTCCCTTTCTCAAAGGATTGCTTTCCCTTTCCCAAAGGTTTTCCCTTCTTCAAGGGCCTTCCCTTTACCAAGGGTGTGCATGCACCTTTCTCACACATCTGCATGCATTTCCTTCCCCAGAAAGGATGCCACTGCCTCACTGAAGGACATCCAAGGCCTGTGCCCCATGTTCTCAAACCAGATGTGTTTCTCCTTTCTGCTCATGATGGGGTAGGCCTCCACTCCCTCAGAGATGGCCTCAGAGCAGATGTCCTGGGCATCATCAAACAACACTGTGATGTTGGCTGCCAGGCATCTGGCTGCCTTGCCCAGGGGCCCTGTTCTCTCCCTGATGCAGTAGGCATCTTCAAGCTTGGGAAACCATGGTTGCTTCCTGAGTGTCTCCATCACCTCCCTCTCTCTCTTCTTGAAGCACCATGAGCAAATGGTGATGGAGTAGCCCAGGTTGATCAAGGTTTCCATTGCCTGGTGGTTGGCTGGTGGAACCTCATAATCATTCACAGAAAGGGTGTTGTGAAAATCCACCATGATCTTTTTCTTGGTCTTGCCACCTGGGCTTGAACTTGCTGCAGACCCTTTCTCAAGGGGTTCCTGCTTCATTGATTCCCCTTTCTCAAGGGTTTCCTGCTCCATTGAACACCCTTTCTCAAGGGTTTCCTGCTTCATTGAACTCCCTTTCTCAAAGGTCTCTAGCTGATCTTCTTCAGCTTCTATCGGTTTCTCTTTCTCAAGAGCCCCAAGTTTTGCTGCTTTCAGTTTCAGGTGGTTTGGTATGTCTTCTTGCTCTTTGAGCCATTGTTGTCTGTCTTCCTCTTTCTTTTTCCAAACCAAAGTTCCTCTGCCAGTGCTGGAAACACTGCTGGCACAACTGGAAGCACTGCTGGCCCTTCTGTTTTTTGGGTTTGGTTTCCTGTTCTTCTTTCCATTTCTGACCAGCCCTGAGCCTTCTGCTTCTTCATGAATGGGCAGGTTCAATTCCCTGTCCCTGTGCCACCCACCATGGCTGGAACTTGAGGAGCTTGGGCTCCTTGAAGGGGACCTCCTTTTCCAAGGAGTATGGTGTGGTGAGCTGCTTCTGCTTGGGCTCCTCCACCTCCTGTGGTTGTCCCACTCTTCCTCACTCCAATCCCACCATTCATGGTTTGCCCACCATGAGCCCTCAGGCTGGTCCTCCCACCAATCCCATTCCTCATCATGGAGGTGCCTTTCCCAATCTTCTTCTGGTTTTTGCCTCTGTTTCCCTACCCTCCTTTGCTTTCTGGCCTGGCTTGTGGTGCCAGCACCATACACCCTGCCAGCTTTGTTCATGTTATCCCCTTTCGCAAGGGTCATCCTCCACTCCTTCCATGTCCATGATGGCCATGGGTTCTGTTGACCTGCCATCCCCTTTTCCAAAGGCTTCCCCTTTTCAGGGGTTGCCCCTTTTCAGGGGAACCACAAATGGCTTCACAAGCCAAAGCAAGACTGCTAACTGTAGCTGTGCCCAAGCCCAAAAGCTGCAGAAGGAGACCCTGGTTGGTGTGTATACCCTATGGTTTTGGTGGGGTGTAAAAAAACCCTAACATTAACATGCCAGACCCTGGTTGGTGTGTATGCCCTATATGGTTTTGGTGGTGTTAAGAAAAAACCCATAACAAAGCCAAACCAAGAACCACCCTCATGGCAAGAACCAAGAACCCACCCACAAAAAATTAAGAAAAGCAACAACCCAGACCAAGAACCACCTAAAAACATTGAGGCAACACCTAGAAACACAACCAGATCAAACCTATACCTAGAAACATCTAGAAACAAGCAAGCTTGCATGTTTTACACACACACACAAAGCACCTTGTTTCAGCCATTTTTTGGCTGTAAAAAGTGTTTCAGCCATTCTTTGGCTGTCAAAAACTGATATATACACAGCTGCCCCTTTTGCAATCGATGTTTCCTTTAGCAAAGGATGTTCCCTTTTTTAAAGGATGTTCCCTTTTTCAAAGGATGTTCCCTTTTTCAAAGGATGT